GGTAAACACCATAATTATCATTTGTGAACCTCAGTTTTGTGTGAAATTGTACATATCGAGTATGCTATTTCCTGAGTTTGGAGATGATGATTCAGGTATATGTCAAGGAAATAAGATGTTTAGCTTTCCATAGCTTAGTTATTATATCTTTTAGAGAATGGTGCTGTATTCCCCAGGCAGCTGCATTCACAGCCCATCCACACTGATGTACCTTCTACATGTACTCAGCACTGGGCCTGAATCCCTGATCCTTCTCCAAGTAGCCTGGCCAGCACTAATAAAATGACATGTTTCTGTATTGTTTATCACCAAGTAAACAGTGATATGCAAAAGCTGGAGCTAAGGTTGGAAGGCACATTAGTAACTTAAAGGTTACAAAGGAAGAAAAAAAAAAAGAAGGGGTGTTGCATTCCGGTAACTTCTCCCTGAAGCAGCCGTGTGTAAATCCCAGGAATTGACTAAGCTTCAGCCTGAAGGAAAATGAAGCAGTGTTTTGCTAATGTGTTCTTCAGTTGCAGTAGAAGCTTTTAAGTGTACCCACCCCATATCTACTGTGCATGTATCCTTCCAGTTTGGATTTCTGAGCCATGAACTAGATCACAGAGCTGATCCAGCTTAGAAGGGAAGCGTCAAAGATATTTTTCTTTGAGCTGGCTGAGTTCTTTATCTGGACCACAGGCATCGGTGGGGTTGCAGAACTAAAGGGATAAGAGGAAAAAGGACAGTGAAGTGGTTTATGGCTTGGTGGGGGAAACCTAAAACCCTATTGCTGCCAAGACAATGCATTGTCAAACTATGGCCTCACACATTCCCTGGCATAGAAACACAGGGGTGCAAACTGCCTTAGCTCTGCTCTGCAGCTGTGGGGATGTTTTTGGAGTGAGTGTAGACATTACAAACTTGTGCTAGCCTTGGTACCACTCACAAAGAAGCCACAGTGATGTGGGGCTTTGGCAGGATGCACAGCTCCCTTCCCCCTCCAGGATTCTAGGTATTTACTTAGGCAAGCAGGTCTGAGCTGCTGTGGCTTCACTGCTCTTTTAGCAGGATTAGCTGGAGCACAGCTCCTTTGGAATCTTCTCTGCATGCTGCTGTTAAGCCTCTCAAGCAGCTATGGATGTTGTGCTGCTGTGAAAGTATGACACGTGCATTTGAGTCATTGTGTGGCTGTGGATTAGATGCAGATAATCTTTCTTTTTACTTAGAAGTTAATTTCTTTTACCCTTCCTGCGTTCACATTAGGTCTATGATTTCATATTTCCAAAGAATGAATGTGGCACCCAGCAGGAAGGGTGTAGGCAACAGGACAAGGGAGCAGTGTTGCTGTGCTCACTCAGAGTGCCAGTGAATTCCTAACTCTAAATTTGGTAGGTTCTTCCTTACCCCCCAGCCAGGTGAAATTGGAGCAGTGAGAGAGGGAAGCAGTTTAAAAGAGGGGAGGCACAAGGTCACAGAGGAAAGGAATATTATGCTTGAGAAAAACAAAAAGAAAATGAAAATGGGACAGAGATGAAAAACAAGATGAGAGGGTGGAAGCGGTAACTGAGGAGGGAAATATTAGAACAGACTCTTATAAGCTGAAGCAAAGCAAGGCCAGGCTGTTGCTGTCAGAAGCAAAGATGGAAGTAAATGATTGAGCGCTTTTTTGCAGAATTTGTGAATTAAAGATGAGCCTATGTAGCCCCAGGTAGTTCACAGCTGGTTCACTGCCCCCGTGCTGGGGCAGGAGAGTGGTACTGTAAGGGAATGTCAGAGAGCCAGGGGTAGAAATAGTTCCTCTTGTATACTGAGAGACCTCATTTCTGTGGGTCACAGCTGCTGCTTTTTGTGGGATGAGACCTCTTTCAGGGTACCCCAGGAGGAGCAGAGAGGGCTGTGCCTGCTGTGGGATGAGAAGCAGAGCACACGTGGAGCTGTGTCCTCAGTGTCTCCCAGCACACCGTGTTGGGGCCCATCAGCCTGGTTTGGTTGCCCTTTTATCAGCAATTACCTGTTATTGCTGTGGTTCATCTTCCTCTTTGCCTTGGTGGCAAAGTTATTGATAGTAACTCTGAGACTGGCTGGCCTTAAAATGAGAATAAGAACCCTCCTAATGCTGACTTTAACAGAGGCACTGGCTAAGAAACCGAGTGCTCTGGCTTGAGCCCATGTGCTGTCTCCACTTGCCATGGAGCACTGCACACCTGGAGCAGCTGGAAGTGTCAGAGCAGGTGAGCTCCTGGCTCTGATCTCTTTACTCTGCTTCCTTTGCTCCCAGGTGGAGGCTGAGCAGCCTGTGAGCATTGTGCTGGGCTGAGGAGATGTGGATAACCCAGTTTCCCTGGCAACAGTGGGCTCTTTAATCACACAGACACAAGGCTACCTCTGTTCCTGGTGTTCAGGCTTGTGTGCTGGCTATGGCAATACTTTGCTTGTCTTGGAAAAAATGGCAAATAAAAGCAAGAAGGTCTTTCTGCCTTTGAGATAATTAAAATCTCCATAGGTGGATTTCAGTGCTTTATTCAGCAATAATAGAAAGAGGAGGGATTATCACCACTTCTAAGCTTTTTAATGTGTGAAGAATCCCTGGAGGATACAGAAATAAAGTTTTAAATTCTATGTGGGGCTTTATGAACAGATCTCATAGCAGTCGTGACACTGATAGATTCATGCCTTGTCAAGATGACTGACTTTCTTTTTTTATGGCTAGGGAGACAAAGTGATTCGAAGGTAGACTGAATCTTGTTGCAAAGCTAGAAATAAATATCCCTCTGAGCTGATCCTCCACCTGATGTTTCCTCCAGTTTCAGGTAGAGGTTTGCCTGTGCAGTAGGAGACAGAACACATTATGGGAGGTAGAAATGTGAAGCTGTTTTTTAGCTGGAGAAAATGAGGAAAGTGGAAATACTGTTATTCACTGCAAGCCTTTCTGCTAATGTATTTTAGTCCGCATTTACTCCCCCACTAACAAAAGTGGAGCAAACTATTCATTTTGAGAGTGAGCACTGGGAGTGAAAAAAAATATTCCTGCCTTAATTTCTGCACAGTGACTTGGTCTTGTTACTGTGTGAGTGTGGAGAAATTGGTTTGGATAAGAATAGTTTGGAGAAACTTCTGCAGGAAAAAGGAACTCTTCCTTGAGTGGGCTTGGGGCCAGCAGAGTTCCTCCATGGATAACACCCGTGTTCAATTGTCAGTGATATATCACAGCTTTCTTGGGTTAGGAAGTTCTTGTTTTCAGCAACTCCCATTCAAGCTGCTGTTTAGCAAATCAACCTACATGGTGTTTTTACATGGTTGTGGACTCTGGAAACCTCTAACTTCTAGACCAAAGTTCCTTCCAGAGAACAGATACCACCTTCCCTCTGCCCTTTGTTACTGTGATTGTGCACAATCTGACAAGTCTTTTGAGGAGCTCTGAGAGCTTGAGCACAAGGTAATAACTCGAGCAGGTGGGCCACATAAAACTCACTGAGTTTGTTAAAATAATGTTTCAATAGTCCTTCAGCAGCCTAAAGGCCTTGTACCAGGCTGTTACTTAGCTGGGTGGCATTTGGTACAAACTGAGACAGAGGCTCACATCTACAGTGAGTTTATTGTTGGGTTTTCAGTATATTGTTTGTGTAAATTCCCCAGACCAGCTCTCCCTCCTGAAAAAGCCACATAGATCAAGTTTTATTCTGTTCCACATAAAGTTCACATCTTTTACTGAAATGAGTCATGCTTTAACTGAGTTTACTGTGAGGGAGGAAAGTGGGCTCTAAAATGTTACTCCTCCACCCTGCCTTAGTGATGTATAACAGGATTATTAGTATGCTTGGCAGCAGCTGCTTATTATTTTCACAGAACCTGGATATTTGTGAAAACAAGAAATTTCTTCTACTTGTGTTCAAGTGTAACTGTTTTTCCTTTTTTGATGGCTTTGTCTTCCATAAGGCTCCTTGGCTTCTGTAAAGGCAGATCTAGCTTATCTCCTTGGGGTTATTTTTCAGTCTGGGGAGAAGGATGGCATTCTGTGACTTGTGGCTGAAAGAACAACAGCTCTACCATTTTGTGGACAGTGGCCCATGCACGTCTGTTACTGTCACACACAGGACACTTCTGGGCATTGGCAGGTGAAAGTGCTTCACAGGCCCATGGAAATCGTGGTGCAGTGTCACTGTGTCACCAAATTTGGCTCCTCTGTGGATATTTCTTCGTGCAGAGAGGTGAAAAGCCTTTTAGCTTACGGCAGAAGGAGCTGCTCAGTGTGTGTCCTTGTCACAGATTTTTGCAGGAGCAGTCTCTGTACACAGCAACTAAAGATGCCATAACGAGTTTTGCTGCTCATTTTTCCTGCAGAAGTTCATTGCTGTCTCATGCAGTAATGGTTAACTTGACTCCTCGTACCACCCTCCTTTTCTGCTTGTGTTTTGGATGTGTTGTTTTAGGGTTTTTTGGGGGAGGGGAGACGGGATGTAAAGAAGGGAACAGTGTGGTGGTTTGTTTATTTGTTTAAGGGGTTAAGCTCTAAATAGGAGGAGGGGCAGCCAACAGAAGAGGACCTTTTGGGATTTTATTTTTGGCAGTAGGTCGGTTCACTTGACATGTAGGACCTTTTTTTTCCTCCTCTTCTTGTTGCTGAGAGGTATGGAGAGAGTTACAGTTCTCCCCTGAGTTATTGTTACCTATCTTTCCTAAACTGGCAGGGGCACCATCAGTTCTCGATTGACAGAAAACCCAGAGTCTGTTACCCAGTAGGTTCCTAAACCCAGACTGGTAACTTTTATAGAGACATTTATTTTAATGCTAATGCTTTTGAGGGAAAGAGCTGTAATGAAATTACCACTAATGCAAGAAAGCACTTTGCCTTTTAGGTCTTAGAATAAGTGAAATGAACTTTTGGTGACAACATGAATTTAATGATATTTCCTCCTCTCCTTGAGCTGTGTTTGGCCATCACTGGCTCTGTGTTTACTGCTGGCTGGCCCCAGCAGCAGCGGGACCCTGCAGGGTGAGCAGAGCTGTGTTGTGTTTTGCAGATGCCCCGTTCGGGGGGACCCCGCCCGGTTACGCGTTCGATGCTGACCGCGCCGAGGAGCAGAGGCGGCACCATGACATGATGCCCTACATCGATGACTCGCCGTCCTCCTCGCCACACCTCAGCTCCAAGAGCCGCGGCAGCCGCGACACGCTGTCCTCGGGCTCTCTGGAATCAACCAAATCCGTGAGTCCTCCCCTGCCCTCCCCTGCTCAGCACAGCCCTCTGGTTTGCCAGGGGTGCTTGGCCTTCCCGGGGTGTCTTGGTTGGAAAGACAGGTGTCTGCTAAGAAAGGAAAATGTAAACTCCCTCCCTCCAAATTATTGTAATTTTGAAATTAAGGGGCTCTCAGGTAAAGATATGGGAATAGGAATAACAGTTCTTTACTAGGAAAAATAAAAATAGAAATACAGTATTACAAAAAAACCCCAAACCCTAAACTCTGCCAGAGTGAGAATCCAAGGTGCCCCCGTCAGTCAGTCAGGGTTGGTGCAGTCCCATTCCATGGTGGCTGCATCCTCCTGCAGTGACAGATGTGGTTCTGCTGGAGCAGGGCTCCTGCACAAGGTGCAGTTTTCCTCCAAAGCTCCAGGGATGATGTGGAAGGCTCTGGTTTTTCTCTGGGATCCAGTGGGAAAAGGCTGCTCTGCTGTTCCAAATCTCCCCTTTGATCTGGGTAGGAAATGCTCGGCTCCTGCCCTGGCTGGAGCATCTCCCAATGGGATGATGGAATTTGATCAGTTAATTAATGGGACCCAGTGTGATGATGGAATTTGATCAGCCCTGCCCTGGGACTGCATGGCCCATTAATAAATGATATCTTCCTGTAGGAAGGGTGGGTTGTGGAGAAGATAAAGATGACTGCCTTACCTGGTTTAACAGCTGGAACATTAACAGAGGATATCTCCTATGGAGATCAGGGTCACTGCCACAGCTGGTTTAACAGCTGGTGACAGAATCCATACTTTTGGTCACATCCTGTATTGAACCCAAGACACAGGGTATGGATGGGGACTGCTGTGCTGTGGGACATCACCCACCATAACACAGCACTGCCCAGCTGGTGTTGCACATTTAAAGCTAAACTTAGGCTTTTAGCTGATGCTAGGCCTAAACTTCAGGGGTCAATGTTGCTTATATGATTTTTGAGCCCTTTGTGCATTTTAGTGGAGAGAATTGGTGGCTAATTGCAGTTGAGAGGGTCTCTAAATAGCAAATATTTTAGAAGGGAGACTGTGGAACAGAACACATTCCTATGTCTCTGCATGGGAGTTGTCATTGCCTTTCACAAGGAAAATAAAAGTTATTTTCAGGTAGGTTAAGGGTTTTGATCAAGCATCTAGAAGACCTATTTTCTTCACCCTGTGAAAATGGAATAAAAAGAATTAAAATGTCAGCTCTGAAATGATGACTTAGGGTGGGAGGTGGCCACTACTTGTAATGGATTTGACTATTCACTAAATAGCTGTCTATATAATCAATTATCATAGATGAAAAATACAGAAGGGACTGCCTTGCCTGATCTGTGGCTTAAGTCTTCAGTCTGCCTTGCTTTGGTTTTGCTTCAGGTTCAGTAGCATGGCTATAGCTTGGAACTTCAGGAAAATTTCTATTTTTGGTTTTACAGTATTCTTGGTAATGGGTCACCTGCATGCCTTGGTAAAGAGCTCTTGGCTCTGCTGTCTTCACAGTCCAAAATGGTTTTGTTTCAGCTTGGATTAGTCTCTTTGACTTTCAACCTTTTGTTTCTTTTTATCCTTTTGCAATAGATTGCAGAGCACTTGAGTCCCAAGTTGCTGTTTCCCTGAATATCTTTGTCATTTTCAAACTTTTGGGTTCCCCAAACCATTCATAAAAATGTTCAATAGCACAAAGCCAACTGTCACTTCCTTCCTACAGTACTTCAAAGAAAATGTGCCAAACAGCCTTGAATTCCCACATTGTAAATGACACTTTGAAATCTCTCATCCAAGTGTTTTAACTTATGTGTTTCCTTTATATTGTTCTTTCCTGTTAATTAAGATGTCATGGAAGATAATTATGGATATTTTAGAGATATCAGTGTATGTGTAAATCAACACCATCACCATTATCAGGCAGTTTTTTATTTACCTTGCATCAAAAGGCAAGTCTGAGAAGTGCCACAAACCATGAGTGCTCAGTGTTCATTATCCACATCCTTCTGCTGTCTGTTGGTTACTTCTTCCAGGATGAATTCTAGGCTAAGAATCCTTCCTGATGCACTGTCCTCATGCTTTCTCATTTATGAATTCATTGTCAAGATCTCTTAAAGCATTATCAAGTAGATCTATTGTTGGTGTTTGCTGAATTTTATTTGACTGTAAAGTGTGGAATCTAGTTAGCTGCTTATGCTTTGGTGTATTCATTTTGAGATGCTTTTTTCTCTCTCAAGATGAGAATTCTTGGGATATGTAAGAGGCTTTTGAATGAAGAAATTATTATTAGCAAATTCAAAAAAGCTCCAAAACCATTTTAATATTGGCTTGAGATTTTCAGGTTATGTTTCTCAAGATGAAGAAAAACACAGTGTGACTACATATGGCTGAGAGTTATTTTCAAAGAACCAGTAATGGCAGTGCCTGTGACTGGAGGCCTGCAAGAGACACTGCCTAATAGTTAGTCTTGTTCTTGAGTTATTTGAATATTGTCTCATAAGCATTTAACAGTAGTTAATTTAGAAATTACTTTAATAATGCTTGAAGGCTGTTTCTTCAAAAATTATTTTTGACATAAATTGCTGCTTTCTTTTTTCTGATTATAAAAAGATGTTTCATGGCTTCCAAAAGAAAGAGGTGTCCTGATACAGATTAGACTTCTAATCATGAACCTCAACTGCTTCACTTGATCCTGTGTGTGATCAGTCCACCGATGACAAACAGAAAGAGACAATTTATATCCAGATATTTCCCAAGCAAGTTGAACCTTCAGCCATCATGAGCTGTGAGCTGGCTTTTGCTGAGCTGTGTTTTCAGCTTTTAAGTGGAAAACACATCAGTAACAAAATCAAGTGTCAAACACATAATGTGTTGGACCCAAAATACCAGGATGTATGTCTCTCCTGTTTTCTTTTGTACAAAATTGATTAGCAGAGAACATGTTTTGTTTACATGTGTTTGCTTTTAAAGTTGTCTTCTTGCCCTTTTACCTGTGGTGCCTGCAGTTATTTCTGAAAATTTCAGATTATTTTTATGACCAGAGTCTGGAAGTGAAGTGAACTGTGTGCAGCAACACAATGCATGCACCACATACATTGTGACAGAACATTAAGGTTGTAAAGTGATTCAGAAGCGAAGAAGTCTTGAATCTTTATGATAACTTTGAATTACTCAATTGTCCCATCTTTGCTGTGGGCTCCTGCAGAGTGCAGTGGATGGAGTGAATGGTTCTCACTGGATTCAATATTTCATCTCTAGAGCTGCACCTTATTTACAGGACACTGCAAACTCCAGTCTAGGTACAAAAGTATTCATTTGCATTAACTCCAAATACAGCTGGAATGCCACACAGGTCTTAATTGTCCTTGCAATGTTCCTGTGAGATAAGAGGATGGTATGGAACCACAGGTAATCAGGGCAGACAGGTTATGGGAAAGCATAATTTTGCTAATTTTGGGTGCTTAATGTGAGATGTGTAATGTTCTGCAAAACCAGGTTCTGACTTTTAACACAGCTTTCTTCACATTAAAGTGAAATTCCTTTAATTTCACTTTGCAACCAAGAGTTAACAGCATTCCAGTCAGGCACCCGGAAAACGAAAAATGTAGCAAACAATGATATTTTAAATTTATTTTTTATAAATATAAATCTAAGTCATTCACTTATCACACAGGCCTTGCAGCATTTATCGTGATGTTCAGCTGCCTCCTCCATGAGACCTCTTGGGGACTGCATTGTTGCTCTCTGAATATTGAGGGCATTTTGCTTTGACATGTTTTATGGGCTTGCTCTGGGCTTTGTATTTTTCTGCTGGGTGTTTGACTGAGTTCTTCCACCTCCCTAGAGCAGCTCTACCCCTTGATAGGGCAGCACATCAGGGTTCACCTGCTCTGTCCAGCTGCCACAGAGTGCCAAAAGCAGCGTGTCTTACTAGAAGGACAATGAAGGAAACCTCCTGGACTTGTGAAGGAGCCTCCTGCTGTTCCCTCAGCGTGCAGGGAGACCAACTCCCAGCACATTCCATTCCAGCAATTGAGGGTTGCAGTTGGCTCCCAGAGGTTTGTGCTGTTTACACTGGGCAGTGTTTTCTTCTCCCCCCTACCCCCCTGGATCTCATGAGGAGACTCTGCCAGCTCTGCCCCCAGGCTGTGCCACTCCAGCCATGGCTGCTGTGTTCCCATCCCCCTGCCCACTGCACCAACTCCTGCTGACCAAGGAGGAGCACGAGGCTGCACCAGCATTAGTTTTATCTGTGACCTGGAGAGGGACAAGCAGCACAGAAATTTGTAGTGTGGATCTCAGCAGCCCCCGATTTGTCATTTGTGTGGAAAGGAGCCCTTAACAAATGTTTGTAGGGTCTGACCCAACTTTCTCCATTTCTTCTGGCTCTTCTGGAATCTCAGGCTGGACTGCTGATGCATGTCCTGCCATAAAATCAGTGCTTTTGCCAAACTTGGCTCTGAAGCAAGCCTACAGGGACAGAGGAAAAAGTAGAAATAGGTTCCACTAATGCTTCAGTTGTTTGTTTATTTAACTTGAGAAGAGATTTAATTTTCCCAAACCTTCCTTTCTGTAACAGCTGAACTGTTGTGATTGAACTTCACAGAAATTCTGGGAACCTCTCTTGGAAAATGTCAGCCCAAACGTTTGCCAGATAAGACAGTGCTGGTAGCTTCAGAAGGTGTCAGACTGTTGGTAAAAAAATAGTGATAATTCACTCCCAGAAAGAATGTGTCTGTCTTTCCTATACAGTGAGGGTGAAGAACAGAGAAAATACTTGGGTCAAGTTAGAGGAGGACAGAGGGAGAGCTTGCTGCAGTATTCTTAGGCCACAGGAAAGTGTAGGGACAGCTGGAAAATCAGTGACTGACACCCTTTGGAAGGGAAGAGTTACTGCCAGGAGTTTTGGAGTGGGTGGCTTGCAGCCTGGAGGCTAAAGAAGGCTGGGAGAGGGGGGAAGCCTCACTCACTGTCATCCTGGCTGCTCCTCATAGGAGGAGAGGGTGCAGC